ATTTTTATGTATACAGCGTCATAAATATCTAAAATAAACATGCTTATCAAATAGTGTACTTGGAAGTACAAGTTTTTTGGACTACGGATTTTATTAAGTAAATTTTGTCATAACATACCGCGAAGGAAGTAGGTCGATCTAGGCAGTAACGGCCGAGAACCAGAATTTTGAATATTTAGATAGTGAAAAATCATGCGAAATTTCCACTGTTATAAATCTGTTGTTTGAAGATGTCAGCAGTTGCGACTTCATAGGTTTTGTAGAGTGAGGTTTGTCTTATCTGAATATATCTTAGCAGTACCGATTCACTAAAACAGTGCCGAGATCCAGAGTCTTGAAATAGCAGGTAAAAAAGCGCTTTTTCAAATTCAACAGCTCATAACTTCTTCAGAACTGCATGAATCATGTTGCGACTTCATAGGTTAGATTCTTCTCATCAAGAGCTTTCAGATGATATATAATAAGTGGGGGTTTAGGGCCTCCTACGAGCGCTTTTTTACCTGTTTTTTCAAGACTGGATCTCGGCACTGTTTCAGTGAATCGGTACTGCTAAAATATATTCAGATAAGGCAAACCTTACTCTACAAAACCTAAGAAGTCGCAACGTCACACACTTTCACTTTCAAGATTTAGATGAGTTTAACTGTCAACTGTCAAAAAACACGCAAAAATGGCGTAAATTTTTAGAATTCTGGTTTTCAACGACTATCTTTCAAATCCACACGATTCTTTCACAAGCTGATAGAGCACCATTTACTCTTCAAAACCTATGAAGTCGCAACTGCTGACATCTCCAAACAACAGATTTATAACAGTGGAAATTTCGCATGGTTTTTCACTATTTAAATATTCCAAATTCTGGTTCTCGGCCGTTACTGCCTAGATCGACCTACTTTCTTCGCAGTATGTTACACAAAATTTACTCAATAAAATCCGTACAATTTCGCTAAGTTTTACTTCCAAATACACCATTTACTGAACACGTTTATTTTGAATATATATACCGCCGTATACATAAATATATGCTTTCAATAATCTTTTTTGCGTTTGTTTTGTTTATTTTCCTTCTTTATCGTCCAGCGAAAAATTTTTTAGTCCAAAAGTGAAGGTGGTCACCCTGTACCAGCTCAAAAGTGAAGGTAGGGGGAGGATCGGCTCCCACTATCGCACCTCTGAATACGGCACTTTGGTCGTCGATATTGACGCAATCGCTCGTCGTTGATATTGTCGACGTCGATCAACCGATGTTACTGGCGGTTGCACTTTACATAGAAATTTATCGCTAACAGGATACCCTATGTCCACTCGATATGCGTCAATCGTGCTCGCTCAGACCGACCTCCAACGTTACTACTGGCGACTCGCCAGTCTAGGCGAACACATTGGCTATATATCGATCGGACAAGTAAAAACATGCCAACAATAGCTGGATATCTACAGTAAGTTTCACCAGTTTCGGCAGAAACTGATTGGCGGGCGTTCGCAACGGTTCCGTTTCGCAGCTTCAATACCATATCGTGCTAGGAACACATGTCTGCGTCTCTCCATTCTCCTCAGTCTTTGACTGGCAAGTGCCAGCGCTGTGCGCTCGCATAGCCTTCAGCGATCCGGACGCGCTGCTCCACGCGAAATGCTTTGCCTATTTCGGTTGGAACAGACTGTAAAGTGCATTGGATTATTCGTCTGCAGTGTACGTATCATCGATTCGTTGACCGCACGGACTGCTCAAACGTTGTGGAGCGCACGCGGCGCGGCTGAAATGCTGCGAGAGCACAAATTGTACAGTGGCGATTGTACTGGGGCAAGCGCCTTCCTCGCGGCGCGTGCTCCGCATTGATGCCCAGTCGCTGAGGTCGACGAATCGACAATACCTAAGGCGTCAATCCCCCCCCCCCCCCCCCTCCCCGCCATCTTTGGTAAACCACTGCTTCTGGAAGAGTATATCGCCCAAATTATAGCTTTCATCTCAGCTATCCTTTCAAGTCATTCCGACGCAAGTTGAGTTTGCTACCCGCTCCACCCCTTGAAAAACCCTTCGCGGGTTTGAAAGTGATCTGCAGAACTTGGAAATTGTTTGATATCGGAATTCAAGTACACCAGCCACATAAGATATCCTTATCCATTCTGGTTCAAGCGCGAGCAACCAATATGTCAACGTCGAAGCTCCTAAACCAACACCCTATGGATATCACATGAATCTTTCCTCAATCAAATTGCTCGCTCCTCCAAATCGATGGGATCAGCAACTGCACGAGGATCTCAGAGACGGTATATCAATCTCCCGTTTGGGTGAGTGTTCCCGTTCAGGCGTAGTCCTGGTTAGACACGGTCGCCTTACTCCCGGAATAAGCTTAGAACGCTGGTTCCAAATATGCTGTTCTTAGCTGCAAAACCTTACTTTAAAGCAAGTTATGCCTCCTGGGCGCTCATCTCTGACGAGTAGTAGAGCCCGAGCTGGAGAGGGGCTCTGATTTCTTGCAAATCTTAAGATCGAATTAAATCAAATCACAGATCACAAAAATCTCTTGTAACAAACAGATTTTGAATCTTGCTCTTCGATGAGTAAAGAGACGCTTTTTCACATAATCTGATAATCAAGAGATCGGGAGGTCTGCACGTGCTGATTTAGGGCCGCATGCATTAGCCATATGCTGTACAAGGCGAATTTCCCGCCTATTGCATAATCCTCTAAGGCCCCGGGCAGACTTCACGCGACCTAATCGTCGCGATCTAATCGCCAAGACTTCCATTCATTTTCATTTCACATTCAAAAATTTCGGGCTGGAAAAGTATCACAACCGGATGCAAGTTGATCGGCATGGAATGATGTTGTAACAGTTGTCTCGTCGCGATTCAGTCGATCAAATCGCGTGAACTCTGCCCGGGGCCTAAGGCGGCCGACCTTATCTACAAAATCATTTCTCTTTCTTCGAAGCTAACGAAAAACTTCCGAAGTTGTACAGACCATCGAACTCAACTATGCAAGCATGTTGCTGATAAGAACAAATGATGTTTAGAATCATGGAATTTACGATGAACCACATGGAAAGTTGGGGTTCATTGAAACATCTGATAATTCAAAAACTTATTTGTTTTTATCAGCAACATGCTTACTGTTGAGTTTGACGAACCGTACAACTTAGAAGGTTTTCGATACCTTCGAAGAAAAAAATGACTTTGAAGAAAAGACGATCGGTCACCAAGGATCACCAAGGGACCATACAAAAAGCTGGAAAATGCGGCTTGTACAGCTTCTTGCCCCTGTTCAATATGTCCACAGTGAAGGATAGTGAGAATACATACGGATAGGTTTCACGGCGTGAAATCCAGATATCTGAAGCTATAAGATTTGAAGCTTTATTTTGAGCTGCGATCCCCTCCGCGGCGGGGATGTCAATGCATGCGAACCGTAGTCGACTAACAGGGCCCGGCACAGATCGTCTGGAAGCAGGCTGGACTTTGTTTTTGAAGCAAACAGCAAAGGAGATATCGTTTCTGACGAATAGGGGTCAAGCACCAAGAATGAGCGCCATTTAGTCGAACGCAAGCTTTTCGGACAGATTATCACACGATTGACATGCTCTATCGTGCATGGCGAAAAGTGCGCGCGATTTGAAAGCAAGGCTTAAATAAACAATTTGCTTGTTTACAGCGCCTACAGAAGCATATGACACCAAAATTGAACTATATGTATAGAAAATTATTTGCGTAACTTTAATATAAAAAGATTTAAAAACTTATGTGAAGTAATACCTTTTCCAAAGTTAGATCGTCTCCACACGGCCACCAGACGATCTGAGATCATCTGGAGCATATATTTTCGTCACTTCACATAAGTATCGGATCTTTTTAGCATGGACGGATTCCCCGGTCAAAAATCTATCCCTGAGCATGAAGACATTTTCATATCATTGCCTTTCTTTTGTTTTTTGCCTTCATTTATTCTCGCTTTGTTAAATATCGCGCTCTAATGCCAAAGTCTTGTACATGCGTAGTATTCAGCTCCAATTTGGATTTTCGCTCTTTTTTTACGTCTTTTCTTTCAAACTAGTGATTTTTTCTTGTTTTCATCTTCTTCTAAGCAGGTAGGTCAAAAGGGACTTCGTAAAACTTTTGTAAGTCAGGGGAGACTTCGTTTTCAGAAACCCTAGAAAGCGACTCGTGCCTGGCCCTGTCGACTAACAGGGGGGACGGTCAGGTGGTGCGATCGGCGCGATTTTTCCGCCAAGCGATGCCGCAACGTACCTCAGCTAATACAACAGTAGCCCTCCTGGTGCAAAGTTACTTATGGCGTCGAGTCATGTATCTGTCTCACCCCTGGCCCCTTGGTTTTGCCGCCGGGAATCAAGATTTGAACACGGCCTGCGCGGCAGAGCGGACGCCGCGCGCGGCGTACATCCTGACGTGCAGCCGACTAACAGGGCCTCAGTACTGTCACCCGCTCACGTTCGAGCACCACGGGAGTAGGGCGCCCGCGTTGATCAAGGTTACAGCCTGAACGGGAACACTCAAGCAAACACGAAATTAATACATACCGTCCCGGAAGTACGCGAACCTTTTCCGTCCGATACGGTGTGGGCTGGGGCACAGAGTACTTGAAGAGTCGCGCACCAACAAGTGCCTTCTGTTGCCTCGCAAACAATCTGATTCTCCCAGACGGCTCTCCGCTCGTGAAGCGATAACGACAGTATATAGCAAGGAAATAGGGTATCAGAACTACGAACCAGAAAATTGCCGCACCTGTCAGAGGTAAGATGAGCTGTGAGTCACCACATGCAAGTATGAAAGTAAATTACTCCTTTGTAAGAACGTCTAAACAAGATAGAAAAAACTTGGATAGGTCGGTCGAGCGTGTCACACACTGCATGTCTACGCCAATATAGTGTAGATTATTCTACACGCTGAAGCCTTACGAAACGATGTTGCTGGTTGCATCACTACTTGCTTACTCGGTTATGGTTCGAAGATCTCAAGCATTTCCAAATCAGTGGAGTAGTGATAGAAACATTCAATTTTATTTCATGCACAACGAATAATTCACAAAGCTGATCAAATTCACAGATCTTGAGCAGATTATATCACTCTATATATCACTCTTTAACAAGCTAGAAAGCTAAAAACTGACTCAGCTATAAACCGCTACTAAAACAGCCGTTAGTCGGAGATTTCATAAGACATAAGAATGTTAGCTCACATGTGAGTTGGGAACTCAAGTGTATTCAGAGAGGATCATGTTAGTAAGATAGTTCGTGCCTAAGTGACTAAACCGCTAAAGACTAAGTAAGGACGTTAGTCGAGGTAGACTCCTGTAGTATCCCTATAGTACCTATATCTGCAATTCAGTCACCTAAAAGACGAGTGCCTAAATCGATACATAAGTGGGAGGGCAATTATTAGTAGACAAGTTGATTAGAAAAACACAATGCAGGCCTCATCACCAGTACACTGACGGAAGTTACCTATATATGCGTAGTTTTCTGAACTCCTAGAATTTTTTCAGCCACTCCGATGTAATAGACAGTCTGCGCTATCCCAAAGAGCGGCGCCATAACCATCATACGACAGGCGGCACCTTTGAGTAGAGCTCGAGGACCCTCCATTTTCAAAATTCTTCTGCAAATTTTGTGTAGGATTAGAAAATCATGTGCAACGCAAAGAGACACCAACATGAAAGCGTCTGCGATGTTTTTGTATCGAACTTCGTTTTCTCCCTTATTGATAGTTTGCATTCGGGTTTTGATAACTAAAAAATATCAAAACGAGATTAGAAATTTTTATCGTCACTGCTAATGTGTGAACTTGAGTAAAGAAAACGCACCATCGAGCGGAGTCACAAGAAATGAAGCAGTCGCTCCTGCAGCAAGCCCAGCCACGAATGAAGTCCAAAACACTGCATCGCCGCTTCCATCACTTTTCCTAGGGCCCTGACAAGAAAAGACAGCAGCTTAAGAAACAAGTCTCTAGTATAAGGCCTCACCAAAGAGTCGAGATAAGCAAAGAAAGGAAAGTAAATCACAGAGAAAGTCACATCCCTAGCAAAAGTTGAACCTAGACCCCTGTAATTGGAAGTTATGGATGCGAACCACTAAAGCAAACTATATTCACTTGTATAATCCAGCGATCCCGTTTTCCCTCAGAAGCCTTGCAGTTAATTGAAGCGCAGTCATTTTCTTTTGTCCAGGCTCTGTAAAAAACTACAGTAGTCACAAACAACATGTGCAACAACACTACATACTTGCTGTTCTCCCTTGGTCCTGCATTTGAATTTTTAAGAGTTCCATCGGTGTAGTGACGATAATCTGGAAAGCTCCAGCCAGTCCGCCTGCAGTCATTCCTCGCCATGCTGAGAGTGTCCTGAACTTTATAAGAACGATCAAGCTTCACTGAGATACTTTTGGGGTACCCCAGCTTTTGCAGGATACAGTGCTCACAGAAAAGTACCAAGTACACCAAAATTAACCCGTTGAACGACCGTGTGCATACGCGTTGTCTCTTATTTTGCATTTTCGCGCATATTTACGTAGGCAAGCCACTTTTTCAGGTGTAAACGGGAAGTTCGCAACTTCTATGCAATAATAAAACTATTGGTCTGGTTGTCATAAAGAACGCAGAGCAGGTAGCTGTTAAGAAGTTTGAACCGCAAATTCGTTAATTATGCTTTTTGAGAGGCGAAAAACTGTGAAGCTGTTTGAAAAGCAAACAAGGATCTACTTAAGCCAAAACACTCAATAATATAGCGCTATCTCTGATATCCTAAGAAATTTCTCATGTTTTATAGATGATCGTCAAAAAGGCTACCACATAATGGTTTCGTGCATGTGCGCGTATGCACGCGCCAAATGCGCGAAGAACGTTGAGTTTCGCCGAAATGGCTTGGTCGTCATCGTGTCAATGGAAAAATAGAGTATGATGCTGAGATTATTCATTAAAAGTGGATAAAAAAGAACAAAGACAAAATAAAACCCACTTTTCTCCAGGAACAGCAAGATGATGTCTGAAGAAGTCATTCGCAACTAGTTTTATAGCCTTCTCAGGCGTAATTAGGACAATATTGACGGCGGATCCGGAATACAAAGCTCGCACCTAAAGTGGAGATTAAACCAAGTCATATGAATTCGTATCTCTGAGAAGACTCAGTTTGTGCTAAATGTAACACTGACCTTGGAAAAGATTGATGCACCCCCTGATCTCCATGTTTGCTTGGCACAATCTACTCTGAAAATATGAACGCGTTGAGTAAAATTCACTCTTAGTATGTTAAGTTTACAGAAAACACAGAATGATTGATGTTCTAGGAAATAGGCTGATGATCAATGTAAACTGTTTACAATGACCCGTCCGTGGAGCCATTATTTTATGGTACAAAAAAGGCAACAACAACACGTTAAGCAATTTTTCATTCTAGATCTCAGACTTCAACTAACGAATGCGATAATACCTTGCACAGTCTCAAGGACAGCAACGTCACCAATCATTTGTGAAAAGAAAACGCGATATGTATCGTTGATAAAGCACTTTCACTTCCACGAGAAATGATTCATGTTATCGCCAAACTTTCACTTCTTTCACAAAGTCTATCGTAAATGTAGTAAGGCATGTCACATCAGGTGAAGTGTTCGTCTCTAGTTCAAATAAAATGGTGAGCTCAATGCCTGGATTTAACTAGATTCAACCGATGAATGATCAGACCCCAGTGTCTCTTTTCTTACTGTAAAAATCGTCATTGTAAGATTGAAAAGATTCAGTAAGATTTGGACGTAAAAGATTGCTAATTTATAAAAGAAACATCAAAAACTGTCTCTCCAATCACCGCAAGAATTAATCTAAAGAAAGTTTGTCTAATTGGACCGCACATTTAGGTACTACAACTGTAAAACCAACGAAGATATCTGTACTATGATCAAGACTTACATTCCCCTGTACTGCACCCGTCCATCTGGCAGAATAGGTTGGTTTTGCAGGCGAGTCTTCACTAGATCAATGGGGAATACACAAGTTACGCCCACAATACCGGCCAGACCGCCGTTCATTATCTTTGGCACATACCTTAAATACTAGGGTAGCTGATGTAATAGATAACAGTTGGGAAAGTCACTTACGAGAACTGTTGGCCTTGCCCTCCCATTTCTACCTAAAAATATTTATCAAAAGCGATACAAATCTAATCAACAGTAAAAGCCTGACATATAAGAGATATAAGAAGGCAGAAACATCCGAAAAATTTTGGCAAGCAGATACAGAAGCACTTTAATCCATACCAATCAGCAACAACAATTTGTGAACTCCGATCAAAGCGTGCTGACTTATTGCAAGAAAACGACGTAACCACGTCTAAGTAGTCAGGAACCATGGGAAAAAGAGAGACACGATTGTGCAGAAGTGCATTAGACTGTTTGTCACATTAAAATGATACTTTCAGACGAATCGCAGAACTATTCAGGACTGACAATACGACCAATTATGCAATAGCGGTTCTGTTAACTAAGAAAGAGCACAGCGACCAAAAGTGAAAGCCGACGATAAGAGGAGCTGACAGGAAGCGAAATGTGAAACCTGGAAGTCAATTGTGTCAAAGTGAATCGTGTCAATACATTTGCAAAAAGGGATGAATAAACGTACCGTCTCATCACATTATAAAACAGTGTGACATCTCCATTTCAGCAGTCCGCGACATCGAAACATCTTTTCAGACTTTAGTTCACTCATGGTAGGGTAAAGATTGAACAAATCATTACCCGTAGTAATTTTGGCAGATATTAGAAATAATAATAAGCTGACTTTACGCCTAACTCAAAATTGAGCTATCTGCAACATCTATAAATATTCCAAGAGAAGTGAGCCTGCAAGGGGGTTTCAACACAGTACAAAATCCGCTGAGACCTGAGATGCGCGAATGCAGAACATGAGTTACTCTGAAGTTTCTAGACCAAGTCAGCGTCCATGACTGATAGCAAAGGCATACATTTTTGTACATTTGCGAGACGCGCTCAGCAACCAGGCTACAACGAAAAAATGCTGCTCATCCAACCAATTTTATCATATGAGAAAAAATACCACATTTATCGTCAAAAATGGACACGGAAATCATTTCAACCAAGAAAATCCTAGTACTGCCCATAGCCGCAAAACATAACCCGTTGAAAAAAAAACAAGATTGCGTTCTTATCACAGAAGAAGGCACGATAAATACACCCAAAGAGAGAAGGACGAACCTACCCCACAATAAAATTGTCAAGCGATAAGGAACGAATGAACCGCAAATTGACCACATATTCGGATGAACAATAACAGCTTTTAGAGAATTTAAAGCCAACCTCGACACAACAGACTCGGCGCATGTGCATCAATCATACGACTTTTTCTAGCAGAAGGAATAGAGACTGATACTTGAGAATTTTCGATCGTACTTGAATACAAGCACATTCTAATATACAAAAACAGTAAAATGCTGTTGCTGAAGAAAGCTTAGACCTAATAGGTCCCCAACGCATCTGCATCACCATGAGTTTAGCTCACTACTATACCGCTGTTAATCAAAGTAGACTTTTCGACGGTTGGCGCAACTTTCGGAATTTTAGCCCAAGGTAAGAGGCTGAGAATTAACTGGATCACGTTGTTGATGATACGGCTGGTAGCGAATACACCACCAACTACAGCACACAATCGTAGCAGAAGAGTAATGAGCGACCTGAAATTCGTAGAGGACAGTACTAAGACAGATTAGTAAATGCCGCACCTATAAGCCTCCCTGATTTCTATCACGTTGGCACAGAATTCGTACTCGAACAGGATACCACCGTGACTATGCTCGCCTTCCTTCAGCTTCTTCTTCTTAATCAGTAAGATTATCGAGATAAAGTCCCACTACCGAACTCACCAGAAAAGTGACAGAGTATTGATAAGCCATGGTAAATCTTCCAAAGATACCATAATAAATCTTGGTCGGGACAATTTTTATGAAGTAATGATAGATATCTTGCCCTGTAAAGTTGCTATGATTGCAAATAGAATATCTTTTTGGTCAAGTACTGGAAGAAAATGATAACAGTCATTATCCTTTTCTGCAAAGTATTACCGCTTTCAGAAATCTGCTCAGCCCCAGCTAAGGGAGCCACTAAGCCTCTGATTCTTCTTCCAAAATTGAACTTTTCTATTCGATGAGAGATATTGCCAGCTAAAATACTTCGGATGTTGAACACCAATTCGACGAAAAGACTAATCATACACTGCTTGACTCCTTCTATATGCGCAAATATTCCAAGACCTAGGGAAGTTCCAATAGAGATTGTTATTTTTTCCTCCTTCCCTTTTCGAACAGGGAACTTTCCATGGACACGACATGCAGTCCCTGCAAGTTTATAAAGAACTGAGCGAAAAAGAAGGAACACGTGAGAGTGATGAAAGTTCGTCCAGTGTAACCCTTAAGTATCTGCGCGGCTGGCAAAAACGATAATGCATCTTCGTCTTGTGAAAAAAGTGCTCAATTCCACAGCGTGAAAGGAGTAATATGGATGATTGCCAACATGAGGCCCGCATACACGTCCTTGTAAACTATAGTTACCGCTCACAATGCATTTGTAAAGTTTTCAGCTATGATTTCCAACGCACTGATGTCTTTAGTGGGTCAGAAAAAGAAAAAAGTGTAAATTACATTAATTGCACACCTTCATCTGTACCACTTGATGCTACTATCTGGAACATTCCCATTCCATTTCCAATCATGAAAATCTGCAAGAAACTGAGCTTTCAAACATGTAATACACACAACGCGAAACTCACCAACTGACCATTTCCTAGACCATCCCCATCCATGTTATTTTTCTTCTGTTCAGTAAGTGCTACTGCTTCATCGTTCTGTTTTTTATTTGCTAGTTGTTCTAGATTATCTTCGACATCCGAATCAACATATTGGAGCTAAATAAAATCACACGTACAGCTAAGAAAAAAAAAAAGAGAAACAGGTTGCCAACCTCTTCCAGCCCTCTAAGGCCACCATTATTGATTGCGGCATGCGCATGGCGTAAAATGGTCCAATACATTTGTTCCTCATCGGTAAATTCAAATCTAAAATTTTCATATCCAAAAAGAATCAATTTTTTAAACAGAGCTAAGTCATCTACGACAAGGAACGATGCGTCACTATTGAAGCAACAAGATCGACTATGACTCGTTCAAGGTGGACCTAGTAAAGACACTAATGAGCTAAATCTATGGCTTCCATATGACGATTACCGTAAAGGCTAGAGGATAAGCTCTTACAAAATAATGAACACTTATATTTGCCACAAAGTGCAGTACAACACCGGTTTTCAATAGCTCAAGAGTTTGCCATGTGGAGCTGGCGCCAAAGCGCGGCTGACCCGAACACGTTCATTGACTGCCACATTCAAAACCAGATTCGCGTACTCTCTTTTGATGAAAAGATAACTACCAAGTCCTTAACTTATGATTCAAAGTATGCGACGTCCGAAAAAATCCTACTGCACTATTCAAGTCACCTGTAGACTCAAAGACTCAAACTCAGGCATGGTCTTGCTTCTAGCTCATGTGACCGAGTTGTTAGCCTTGTAAAAAAAACAAAATAGTAGGCGGTACCTGGTAGGATCCTTTTGGATACTTTGCTGTAAGGGAGCAAAAATGCCACCGCTTTCGTCCATACTACTCATAACCGCGAGATTATTACACGGGGTAGCTATCACCATATCGACATCCAAAGTCGGCATACTGAAATACAAAGCTGAGAAACAAGCTGCAGTCCCGCAACAAATTTGGTGATGACTGAAAAAATTAAGATCCACTGACTCATCCATAGCTGTATCGACATCGAAGCGGTAATCGTACTCTTTGTTCCCAGAGATGTAATGAAGAAGTTCGCCGACAACAAGGCATGATATGATCGCAAAGCATACGATAGAAACTAAAATAATCACATTGGCAAATGAAACCAAAAAGGAGCTTCTAACAGTTAATTAAGAGAAATGTTTGCGTACTCAATCCGGACGACAACTTCTTTTCTTCTTTCACATTATCGACAACCTTCTCAAAAATATCCAAATCTTCGACTAGTCGCTTCACACCCGTCCGCCTCTGGCGTAATCCGTCGGACTCCAGGCTCATTACTGAAAAGAAGAATTTCGGTTTTCAAAGAAGGGGCACCTCACTCTAAATGCTAAAGTGAAAACCGAAAGCACAAAATTAAGTGCAACCAGTGCCAATAATTCCAAATTGCAAATTCCCGGACAGTCAAGGAAAATACAGAGGCATGCAATCCGCCCAGGACCAAGAATCGGGTAATTTACCTTGATTTCAACCTCACCTTATTCCATCTTTGGAGAAGATGGGTACTCCTTAACCAGTCATAAATAGACGTTTTCAAACTAAATTCAGTCAACCCATAGCATCGCAGTTGCACTTACCTGCAATTCGAATGGAGTGGTTTCTCCAACACAATTCAGAAAAGACTGGCAAATGCGATTAGTTCTGAGTAGATATCAGAAAGTGGAGGAAGAAGAAAAAGGTTTGACACAGCCAGGTAATCTGAGTTGCTGGGAAGGAGACATCCCGACGATGCCGCACATCAGTGTGCAAAGAGGGAACGCCTTATCTTTTTGCTAGCTGTCCATGGCAGTGAACAGGGACTGAAAGCAAATGAACTCTTGAAGCGGTGAACGCTGAGCGCGCCGGGTAAATTGATTTCCGTAGGTCATTTCTCACCTCTCTACTTCTGAACTACTGTAGGAAGATTTAATGAGAAGAAAAAAAGACTCCCAACTCTTTTTTGCTTTTGACCTCTGAAATTTCGGCAAAAGTGCGGTTTCCATGCACACTCCAGGCTTTTTTACAAATTAATGATTTCTTAACCTAGAACATGCGATGGAGAACAAGGACATCGTCCGCCACGGGGTAATCCACCTGCAGTCCCTGTCCAGCGAGAGTTCATGCACTTTATGGTTTCTACACCTATTGTTTTGGCAATCCGTCGCAAGGGGTGAGGCAGACGAGAGAACATCCCTCCCACTGTTTATCTTCTTTGAACATTGTTGGAAGATACTACAATACACGTACTTTTCGAAGGCTGACGAACAAGGCAGTTCGATTTGATTTATTCAATGCCATCCTTACAAAAAGAGGACTGTCCTCCAAAACAGCACAGTACTAAGATGGAGTTCTTTCTTTGCATTTGGAGATTTTCACGCAGACCAGCAATTCAAAGATCATATCGTCTACTGTGAAACATAGTGAGGAGTGCTTCTAACGCATTCTTTGTTAGATTCTTATCATTCCGCACAACACTCAAATGGGCATGAGGATAGATAATGAAATCATATTTGAAAACAGTGTACAATACTCCCTAGAGTGATGCAGGACTCAGTGGAAAGATCACTTCGACACCCCTAAGTACACAGAACCATGCAAACCTAGCCCTTGGCAAGAAGCCAACTGACCACAGATCACGACACTGCAATATATAGAATGTACAAGAATTTATTCTTAACAACCAAAACTATACAAATCAAACAACTACTTTTTGGGAGCGTCGCCCTTCCCAGATTCGTCGCTTTCATCTGTGGGGCTCAAATCGTCCATTCGACATTCAAATTCAAAATTGTTATGCTTGTTCTTGTAATAATAATCCATGATAGCTCTTCTAGACTGCTGTGGAAGCTGAAAAGAAGCATACATGCGTGAAAACAAAGTTTCTGCAATAGCTTACCAAGTCCTTTAGCAACCGAGAGCGTTGACTAGGATCTGGTACCGAAAGCATATCGAATTTTTCGCCACGCACTGCACATTGAACAACACGCTTTTCATAGTCCGAGAAAAGATCAGGCACGACGAAGTTTTGACAGATTTTCAGAGCTTTGCTGGTATCAAACTTGCAGTAGGCAAGTATCTCGTGTGCCTGAATGTGCTTCAATTTGATGGTCAAAATGCAGGTTGAATATAACATCATGTAAGTGAATAAGTGAAGTGAATAAATCCCTCGAACCTAACAAAAACTTTTTGTAACTTTGATGTGCCAGAGTTTTTCTTCTGCACTACTGTTAACCTTTTTTTTGAGACGCTATTTCATGCAGCATAATCTCTCACATATCATTTTTGTGGTAATGTTGCCGAGATACATGCAAATCCATGATAACGTACACATGCTGTTTCTCGATAGTAAGCTGCAAATACCGCTATGACTAAAGCACTCAATGGCATACTGTCCATTTCCGTAATGGCCACTACAAAGGTATGGACAATAGGATTTGAACCAACAGCTATGGGAAACTCATAACTGCAATACAATCGGGGTCCAATTTCCTTTTTAATTTCTCCAATGGATTCAAACAATATCGATATCGAAAGTGAGAATAAACCGAGCCTGTCATTGATATCGAAAAAATTCCAATGAACCCACCCAAAGAATAGTTTTAAATGTACATACTCCGATTACTGGAAAAATACTGGACGAATAGGTATATGCTACCAGTAGTTAAAGAAGATACCGTTCAAAACTCCTTTCAAGTGTCTACGATAAGGAACTCACTTTATAAGTACTGCGATTACGACGCTTGTAAGGCAAGCTTCAGATCGCGCCACTATTCATACGAACCCGCCGGAACCTGCCAAATGATGGAAGCGAAGGAGATATGTCTATAATTATTTTATAATCTTATATATAAAGCTGAATGTGTGTTTGTCTGTCTGTCTGTCTGTATGTCTGTATGTACTTATGTTCCGAATAGAAAATTCCATTTCTGAACCGATCGGGACCAAACTTGGCACACATACACTTCGGGCCCGGCTGGTGTCATAGGCTACTTTTCGTCATCGATCGATATCGATTTTTTGCAAAATTTGAGCTACGGGGCTGGGAGTTGGCACAGGGGGGGGGGTAATCGAGCATGCTGATCACCCCCGTGGGGGTGATCAGCATGCTCGATTACACCCCTCTGCCAAATTCCAGCCCCCTAGCTCAAATTTTGCAAAAAATCGATAACATCGACATCGATCGATAACAAAAAGTGGACTGTGACACCCGCCGGGGCCCGAAGTGTATGTGTGCCAAGTTTGGTCCGGATCGGTTAAGAAATGGAATTTTCTATTCGGAACATACGGCGGAGTCGGGTAAGCCAGCTAGTTATTAATAATTATCGGGTATTCGCATATTTCACAGCGCGCACGGTATTTCATGTGTACTCTAAAATGCCAATTTCCAGGTATAATTCCACTTTCCTCAATTAGCAGGTTCCGGCGAATTCCGGCGGGTTCGGACGGTTACGGAAGCGGTCTGAAGCCTACCTTATCTAAATACAAGCTAGTCTCCAATTTGTAAGCTGTGTGCATAAAATTATGTGTTTGCAGTTATATTTTGTTGCTTATGAGACCTGGGCAGTGGTACAAAATATATGGGGCTCTTCAGAAACACTATATCGAAGGACTAAACTGTTGTTCCGTAAAGGTACAGTCACAGCCCCTTCCGTGGTACTTTCCAAAGGTTTTGGCGCTAAAGTGCATTTATGATATTCTCAAAAAAAAATCTTATATTACTGGCAAAAGCAAGATAGTGAGGAAAAAGCGCCGGTCTCAAGCCTAAAAAGCTCTCAGAATCTGGATGTGTTGCGCTGAGCGAGGTCCGTTCCAAAGACAAGCTCTCGGCTAGAGTAAAAAATCATTTGAATCGAACAACATAGAGATCGATTCATCATAAACCCGAGTATAAATTTGTGAGACCACAGACCAGCTTTCCGAGGGCTATGTGTGTCACTTACCCGGAACATATACGAGTGTATTATACGCGAAAGGGCCAATTTAGGATTTTGTGTGTTATTCCACTGAACATCTCCAAGCACAATACAAGATACGGGGTTTCAGTTCCATAGGTAAATCAAAAAAGAGATGCATGTAGCATCAAAAAACCTCCGCCCCGTAACGTTATTTTGTTGAAATTTGGCAAAGCACACACACCTTCTCTGGAGGCATATTATTCTTCTCAGCTTCAACCATATACTTTCGAATCTGATTGTCTGAAAGATGACAATCAGAACCCCAGAGCTGAACGTCACGATCCCGCTCACTCGCAGCTTCGCTGAAAATGCACTCTAACCCCAACGCTGATACGGACCGAACTCGACATACATGTTCACTCATACGATTTTGGCCACTATACCGACATAATATACATAGATGTAGTAAGTAAGAATTGTGGAACTTCACACTGCAGCATGCAAGAGTGGAAATATAACCTTATGTCGTACACATCATCCCCCACTTCAGCTTGATGCGAGGCACCTTCAATCTCGCGCACCGGTTGACGTCGACGACACATAACCTAGAAATACTTGATGCCCATTTGAGTCACAGACATACTCAAACAGACTCACAAAAAATTAGTGAAGAAGAAAGGCTCCCCGCAGCAGTTCAAATGGTTGAGTTCAAAAAATGCGTTCAGCGGGAACAAAAGGAATCTGGCGCACACTTTTCTCAGCAGAGCGCGTTATTAGCACCTCTGCGGTGAACAGACGTTATCAGTGTTTTAGTCATGTTATATTTGTGATGCTGTAATTCGTGCGATTTCTCTGACCATTTTCTATGGTTCTTGCGATTGATGCAGCTCCTGGAATTCATTATTCTCATAATGGTTCTGCATGAAGTTAGAAACCTTGTTCGTCTGATTCCGGCGCACTTTAGCTACAGTCAGTGGCGTACCGAGGGCCCCCCCCCCGAGAACGGGTCGCGAAATTTTTGAAAGTTACTTACATGAGTTATAAAAATGCGCAAATGACTTGTTTATTTTTGCAAACAATTAAAATAATTTTTAAAATTTTTTAAAAATTCAAATTAGCCTTATAAAAATTTTTTTCGGGGCGTCTGTCCACCGCAGAGGTGCTAATAACTCGCTCTGCTGAGAAAAGTGTGTGCCAATTGCTTTTGTTCCCGCTGGGCACAGGGGGTAACCGACCATGCTAATTACGAGTAATATTAGTTTTTGAAATCATCCGTTATAGGCCGTCCGCGCTGCGCACGGAGAGCAACGCTGTTGCGTAGATTGAAGGCAGTTCACGACTGGAAGAAGCGCAGAGAAAAACAGGAGGCGAGAGTGCACGAGAAAGAGGAGTGACGCGCAATACACACCTTGCGCACTCTCCGCGCCCTGCGCGGACGGCCTATACTTTTACCGATTTCATCGAGTTTTTGCAAAGTCTGGGCTACGGGAATGGGAGTTGGCATAGGGGTGTAATCGAGCATGCTGATTACGAATACAACATTAGTCCCATTATTCTTTACTTTTATCGGTTTTATCGATTTTTTGCAAAGTTCGACCTACGTGGCTGGTAGTATTTGGCACAGTGGTTAGTGGGCATGCTGATTACGAGTACAGTATTACTTTCTAAAAGTATCCGTTACTTTTATCGATTTTAATTTTTTTGCGAAGTCCGACCTACGCGGACATGCTGATTACTAACACAATAGGGAACAGGGAAATCGGCATGTGGAATTGGGCACAGGGAAAGGCTTTACAGGGATAGGGGTGGGACCTTTGTCATAGTGTTTTGACAGGGTCGAGCGGTAAGCCAGCTAGTGCATTTATATGGAAGTGTCACATCAACTGTTTGCTGTAGACTAAAAGTGGGCTATAGAATTCCATTGTGTCAGAAGATCTCCTCTGTTCTCACACCTTGCTCCATTTTCTCATATGTTCACTTTGAGAAGATAAAGTCATTCATAACAATGACTTACTTTCAAGTCCTTCTTTTCAACGAACTACAGATGTAGTAAATGCTACTAGTACCACTCTGTAACATAAAATCATTCTTAGCGGCCCTCATTCATTACAACACTCATGCGGATAGCTAAATTTGGTAATGTGCACTATTTAGAGGATAAACATGTACCATGTTCTTTGCAGGAACTTCTGATGTGGTAAGCAAGAATAAGAGCCAAAGGAAAAGTAAGAGGCAGCCGGGGCCACGCACTCCGAGAATATTTTTGCGGGTCCCCAACCCCTAAAATCTGGAAAAAGTTAATGTTTAACATGTTTATCCTCTAAATAATCAGACATAGCGGCCGGCCGGCCGACTGTGTGGCAGGACATCGTATTCCATCCCAGCCGTTTATGCGCGCTTGCTGCCCGGGAAGCGCACTAGAAAAGAAAGAACATCCATATTTTAGATGCACAGTTAGTAACAAAAGATATAGAGGAAAGAAAAGAAGATCTAAAAAGAAGAGTAAATGCCTTAACAGAAATGAGGAAGTTCTAGCTAATATAAATACTTTACAGGGTAACGGACTTTTTGTGTATTTCCGAACTCTTAATAAACAAGATATATCAAGGCTTATAGATTACACATTCAGTCCCAATTTCACAATGTTAACTTTTGAACATAAATATAAGGTATATGCATTACTTGCCACACCGTTTTGGAGAAAAGATAGAAGAGAAATAAAAAAGTAAGAAATAATGGTAACCGTACCCCCTTGGTGACATTCTAGACAGACTTGAACTTCATAAGTTATGCAACAGTACAAGAATGAAAAGAATAGTTATGGATAATATAAATATGCAAGATGCAGATGAACTAAACGGTACAAGGGTATAAATACGATACAATTTGCAAAAACCAGTAGGTCTGAATATGTTTGATTATAATAACTTTCTCAAAAGACTCAATGAATCTACCATAAAGATCATAGAAGAACAAGAATGTGAGTGTGTAAACTATAAAGAATTTGTTGATAATTACCACAGGCATGTCTGCACAGGAAATCTGGACTTCATACAGAATGAAAAACTGAAATCTATTTTCAAAAAAGGGACGAAGTATAGAGCACATATGGTAATCATAAAGGAGACATAGTGAAAGTGATAAATGATCTGAGTTCACAGCTAGCTCAGAAGTACGTTCGAAAATACAAGGCTAGCTCTTCTGTTAGAACTCAGTTTACAAATGAGATAAGTGAGCACATTAAAAAGGAAGTTAAAACGAAATTGTTCAGTATGTATGATCCAGAACAGATCGAATATGACGAATATGATGCAGAGGTTCTGAGAATTACAAAAACATTTTATCATAACTCCAGTGGACAAAGCCACCTCAAATTACAGTTTTACGTGCAAGAAATTCTATTTACATATGATGAAGAGGGAAATGGAGCAGTCGGCTTCGAATGGATGTACTTATATATCAACTAGACTAAGTGAAAGCGATGTTTTGTTGAAGCATAAAAGGATTCTTAACAGTTTAAACATCAAGTTTGTAAAAGAATGTAGTGTTGTCCATGTTCGGCTATCCTTGAACCTTGGCATGGCTTGTCACTTGAGAGGTGTGGTTTGAGCGATTGACCAAGATGGTACACAGTTTATTATTGTACAATGGCCTAAGTTTCGGCGCTGTCGCCTTCGTCAGAGCCTGGAAGTCGAACTCATCAGAATCTATTCCCTCAGACGTCAACAAAGGACACAGAGTACTATTCGACAAAAAGCCAATGAAAACCCAGTCAGAGCAACAAGAGCAATACTAACCTTAGCCAGAAACAAAACGGAAGTCGAGAGACCGCCGTGTATGCAAGACTATGCCTCAGCTCTACTTATATATGCCGTTGTGACCTGACCTCATATTCAAATCCGCATGGGGATTGATATGGCGCCAGTTCTTTAGTGATAGCGATACACTCCTCCTTTCTATTCATTTTTGGATTTCTGGCGTTTATCCAAAACGCTTCCAACGTTTTGCGCGCAAGGATCTCGGGTTCGAACGACAAGATTTGCACCGCAATTTGAATTTCAGCTTTATCATGGCGCACTATACGATGCTTGCCCAATGGAGTGGCTGCTTTTAACTTATTTAAGCCGTCTATATGTTCTTTAACGCGACAACAGAGAGGGCGGCCCGTTTCACCAATATATGTATCGCCGCATGCTAAACATGTGATAAGATATACAATACCGGATAGCATGCAATTACCCTCCCTACCAAATGGGCACACCACGCAGTTAGGAGTTGGACAGAAGCGATCGTAAGCACGGTTTCGAACCAATCGCTGTTTGAGATTTGCGGGGGGAATATCGACTACCTTAACAACGCCTTGCAGACCCGCCTGATATACGCACCGCCGCACTGCGCTGCTCAGCTCATCAGAAATGAATGGCAGGCAGAACGGAATTTCCGCGGTGCTGCTCGAATTGCGAGCTCTGCCCCGAGAGCACCAATGTGCTCCCAGGGTGTGCTCCCGAGCAGCATAGCCGTTGGAGGCCGCGATTCCCCGAGCGACGGCGATGGACCATGAGCGTTCTTCGCTGCCGGAGGATACTTGAACAGCTGTTTTGTACATGTTACCCACAATAGCCCTTTTCATCCTATTTGGATGCGCGGACAAGGAATGTATGAGGATGTTTTTGTTACTGGGCTTGCGATACCATTTTGTTTTGTACCCTCCGCCTGCAAGCTGAATTTGCACGTTTAGAAACGCTAACCATTCCCCGGAGAGCTTTTCCCTAGTGAGTACGATGTTTGGCGACTGTTGATTTAGTATGCTAAAGCAAGTGTCTACCTCCGCTTGGGTGGGACATATGACGCAACAGTCGTCTATATACCGACCATACAAAAGGGGTTTACGCTCCAGTACCGGCGCTATTTTAGACATGAAAATGATAGCTAAAGTAGGTGCAAGTCGCTGTCCCATTGCTAAGCCTCTGACCTGTTTGTAGCAAATTCTGATGATGGGAATAGATTCTGATGAGTTCGACTTCCAGGCTCTGACGAAGGCGACAGCGCCGAAACGTAGGCCATTGTACAATAATAAACTGTGTACCATCTTGGTCAATCGCTCAAACCACACCTCTCAAGTGACAGAATGTAGTGTAATTCGTAGAATTTACGGTATTCCAAAAATGCACAAAACACCGATTAAGTTCAGATTCATTACTGGTGCTAAAAGAAGTACGTTGAAGCCTCTGGCTAAGACACTCCAACTGATACTTGCCCATATAAGAAGGCATTTTTAGAATTACTGCAAAGTAATTTGGCAAAGAACAAGAATAAAACATTTTTGGGCTATAGAAAATAGTAGTCAGGTACTGAGGGAACTGACGACATCATGGAGCCTTGAAATGCATTCAGCAGATTTCTCTAGTCTTTTTACTAACTTGCCACATGATGTCGTGGAACGAACCTTAGGAAGATCATAAGCCTATGTATGAGAGGTTATAAATACATAAAGGTGCATGGCAACAAAGTCTCATATTCTACTTCAGACATGACACAAGGCAATTATTATCAAGTTGAAGATGTAATATATATGGTAGATACAATATTAGAGTCTAGCTACTTATTTTTGGGGGCGTTATTTATAGGCAGGTAAAAGGTACACCTCAAGGTGCTTCGTGCAGCCCCCGAATGGCAGATCTTACATTAGCTTGTATGGAATACGAATTC